TCTTCTTCTTCTTCTTCTTCTTCTTCTTCTTCTTCTTCTTCTTCTTCCTCCTCCTCCTCCTCCTCCTCCTCCTCCTCCTCCTCCTCCTCCTCCTCCTCCTCCTCTATTGTTTCCTCAACTTCCAAGTTTCGTGGCAAATCATGAGTCTTAGTACATAAGCTTGTGTGGTTAGAGTGCAGTACTGAGGCTACTTCTGCAGACTGCTGGCTGCCTACAATTTGGCAGTTCAAATCTCATCAGGCTCAAGGTTGACTCAGTTTTCCATCCTTCTGAGGTTAGTAATATGAGGACCCAAATAATATGCTGACTCTGTAAACTGCTTAGAGAGGACTGTAAAGCACTGTGAAATGGAACATAAGTCTAAGTGCTATTGCTATTGTGTATTCACATTCTTCTCACATCCCAAAACAGTTTGCTGCCATGATAGAATGTATGTACATTCTGATAGATGTACATACCAGTGTATGCACAAAAAGAGACATAAACTCCTTAATCACATACAGACACTTTAGGTAAACACTGTCTCCAATGTAACTAAGAATATGAAATGCTACTTATTTCAAAAAAGGCAAACAACAGTTCATATATCTCCAAAGTAGCTGTTTTATTAAATCAGAAGAAACACAACCAACATAGAGATGGGATTATTTGGGTGGGTATTAAAGTCTTCCTCATCGAGTTTTGATTAAATGGCTTTTTTAGTAGACAAACATCAATGGTAAACAGAAATCTCACTTGTATAACATAGGAGAAATCCTATTCCTTCCATCCATCACCTTGATAATATTCCTGGAAAGAAGCTTTAAATTTGCTCCCTCCTAATATCAAGATTAGGTTATTCAATATAGAGATCTATCTGAAACTAAATGTAACAGTACACAGTACACAAAGCTTCACAGATAATCGCCAAGAATAAACTAATCTGTGTTTAATAGGGCATGCTGAGAACAAATTACTTCACTAATAAGCCAGAATTTCACTATTCTCTTGGTTTGTAGACATTCAAGAATGTCAGGAGATGAAACTTAGTATTCCATTCCAAGAAGCAATCCAAGAACTTAGTTTGTTTCAAAAAGCCTATATATAAATGTAACCTCAGTTAATAGACGTTGGAAAAAGAAAACTAGGCAGCATCTTGTTTGCATATTCAGTTTTGAAAAAAAAAATCCAAATTAACCAAGGATCATTGTACAATCTTTTATCGAATTGCTTTAATTAAATTATCAGAGTTTAGACAGAGTGAACTATTCTAAAAGTCCAAACTACTAGAATTAATTTATGTACACAGGGTATGAAATTCATATTTAATTCCTTCAAGGCCATGGGAATTCAGTCAGCCATTTTAAATAAGACAGAAAGAACCTTTCCTGTTAGTCATTATACAGATTCAAGTCAGCTACATAGAATGCTAGTATATTTATTTAGTGATTGTACTTTTCTCTAACCTATATAAGAGCATCTTTAATTTCCTGTCACTACTGCAGCTTTCTCATTTTGAGGAAACTTTGACAACTTCAATTTTAATTAGCTATTTGAAATGAAGATCTGATGGCTTTTCATCAACTGTGCAAAGTAAATTGCATTCCTGTGGGACCATTTTTTTTTTTACTAAAACAATGGCTCCTCTACAATTCTGTGCTCTGGTAGATTGCCTGAGAATGCAGTGTTTCAATATTCAAGACTGCACCTTCCTATTTCAGTAAATACTTTCCACAAATTATTTTAGAAATCTAGGATCTATGGCCTGTGAAATTAAATCAGTTTGCCAAGGATGAGTTCTTGGAGAAACCCATCATTATCACAACAATCTCAAAAAAATATTCAAAAATTTTCAGCTTATAAAATTCCTGATATAATCTAGATTGGCCTTTGCTGTATGTCAGAAATGGTTTGGACAATCCATTTAAAGAAATTTATTTTCATTCAGGCATACCTTTGTTTTGACAACCACATCTAAAGCATTTTGTTTCATTCAATATCATTTGAAAAAGATACACCTACATATTGTATCATCAGAAAGAAAAAAAATAACTTTGTATATACATATAGTACTCTTTTGTACATATGAAACTCTCATTAAATTGTTAGGCTAAGCAGTTTTTGCTATTTATATAAAAATGACTAGTTTATTAATAAACACTTAAATTATGCATGTCACAATATCCATGGTTATAGATATAGCAGAAAAAACAGATATGGAAACAGAAATTAAATAGTCCTAACAGAAATTAAATATAGCATGGATATAGTTGTCATCAAAAATCTTAAACTGCATTTTTATTTGAAGAGAATAGTAAATTAACTGTTTAACAAAACAGTCTATATTTTGGCCCAGTCTTCCTTACCCCTTTGTCTCTAATAATCTATAATATTAATAATCAGTTGGATTTGTGAAGTTCTACTCTCAAAAATCCTCAACCAGCATGCTGGAAATTATGGAACTGAAACTTATATAATTGATGTATGGTAATTAACTTTACATTTGGTCCATGTATAGCTAAAAAAACAATAAGCCAAGCATCTCAACACACATTTGACTGTAAAATTTCTTAAAGCATGTAATTAAAATAGAAATAAATTGTCTGCTTAAAACAGAGAAAAATATATTTTCATAAAAGTCTTCATGGTCTGAACTCAAACTTGTATAGAATGGAACTTGAAGAACTGACATGTCTTTACAGATTAAAAATTATTTTTTCATATTTACACTTATTTTAATTCTCAGCCAAAATATGCTCTAAAACTTGCAAATTGCTTAGGATTAGGCTAAATCCTAACAAAATAGAATGCTTAAACCAGAAACAATGTCACCATAATACACTGAATTTGGCCTTGAAAGGAAAACATTATTGTCTGGAGATTCTTCTGCATATAGCAAGGGAGGTTATAGCTATGAGAACCTTTGCCCAGTTTCATCTGATGTACCAATTATTATATATTCTTGCTTGGAATGTGATGCCTGGGTGATTGTAACTCCTGCCTTTTGCTAGTGTTTGGATTTACCGTAACTTTATGAATTTGGGATTACCTTTAAAGACTACTTGAAAACTCCAGTTGTTACAAAATCTAGCAAACCTATTTGCTGAGGGAAGCAGCCATTTCAGCCATTTCACATAACTTATGTGTGTTTCCAGGTGTTTTTCAAAGCACCGTTATGGTTTGTATGCTTGGTATCTGCAGGACCATTTTCTGTCAGTAGAGAAGGGTGTCAAACCCACGGCCCATGGGCTGGATGCATCACACACTGGCCACCTCCACCCCATTTTAGTGAAGGAAGAAAAGTCGTGATACATCACATGATGACGTGATGCCATGAGGCTGACACCCTTGTGGGCAAAAGCTGAGAAGGTAGGTCCTAAGGAAGCTCAGGAGGTAGGGATTCAATAACAAGCCTTTTCAGTGTCTGCCCCAATCTTAGGGAATGGCATGTCCCCACCCAAGATCAGAATTGGTCCCTCACTATTGAGATGTGGACAGGTGCCAAAATGTTGGGGCATATAATGCCATGTACTGGAATGGCTGACAATTATTTATGTCTGTTTTTATTTTGTACAATTTTATTTTATTTAATGAATCAGTTTACTGATCATATTAATCTCTCTATATTTATGACTCATATATATGCTATATACCCACATGCAGAGACACTTATGTATTTATATGTATTCAGGAATGTAGATAAGAAATCATTCAAGTCCTAAAAGCTTAGAATAGTGCTACATATTTCAAAAATGGTTAGGAAATGGTCTGAAATATATAAACTGTAATCTTCAATAACATAATGCATTTTGTTTTAATTATCAGGACCAATACTGCATGCATTCTTTTTACTATGAAAGAAGGATTATTTAAGCTTTTTAAGTACAGCCACAGTAGATTAACAGTGATTAGAACTGCAATAACTGTGGGAATCACCCAAAAGAATGACTCCAAACAGAAAATGGTAGGGCACTAATTTAACTTGCTTTCACACAGAATCACGGGTCTTGCCATAGTACCTGATGAACTGCAGATCATATTAAATATTTATAATTAACTCTGATAAAAGTGCCACTTCACGATACCTTTTCTAATTAAAAAGACAGCATCAACTTGCATTTCTAAAAGACTTCTTTAGAAAAAAATCATTTTTGTGATAGACCATCATCGTAGCAACATTTTACAAGTT